GACCTCGTGGACCCGGGGCCCAGCCACTGACCCGGCCCAGCCCTGCATCAGGCCCTGCAGGGGCAGCTGGCCACCAAGATCCTCACCCCATCTCAGACCCACACTCTTCTGGGGGGCCTGGGCTGGGTGTGGGGGTGCCCTGGAGTCAGCCCCACTGCCCCTGCAGAACAAGGAGAATGACATGCTCAAGGCCCTGCTGAAGGCCAACGTGGAGAAGCCCGTGAAGCTGGAGGTGTTCAACATGAAGACTATGAAGGTGCGCGAGGTGGAGGTGGTGCCCAGCAACATGTGGGGCGGCCAGGGCCTGCTGGGCGCCAGCGTGCGCTTCTGCAGCTTCCGCAGGGCCAGCGAGCACGTGTGGCACGTGCTGGTGAGTGGGGGTGGGCCACGTGGGGGTGGGGCGGGGTGGCACCTGGGAGAGGCCAACAGCCAACAGGTCTATTAAGAGGGTTGGGAGGGTCAGGTGTGGTCTCACCTGCTCCAGTGTCCCAGAGAGGACAACTCACTGTCCCCTGAACAGTGCACGCTGCTTCTTGTTCGCCCTGTGACTCTGGGCCGTTTCTTGCCCTCTAGAGCTTGGTTTCTTCTTTTGGATGGTGGGGGTGCCACCTCCTGGAAGCATGCTTGTGCTGCCAGAATGCTGCTACTGCTGCTAGGAGTCTTTATCTGTAGTGTGCTTTCTGGTATATTCTATGGTAGACCAGTATCATGGTTCTTTGGGCAGGTCCCCCAAGAGCACCTTTGGGCACTGGGCTGGTGCCTGGGGTCTGACCCTTAGTGAATCTCCATGACTGGGTTGTCCCAGATGTGTCTGTTAGGGTCTGTTCATTGCACATTCACTGATGGTCCCCTAAGTTCTCGAATGGTCAGTCCCAAGGCTTGGTGGACAGAGGATGCCCTGAGCTGGAAATTGATTTGGTTTCTAACCCCCTCTATTGCTCGCTGACTTCTTGCCAGAGACTTCTCAGCCTTTTCAGCCTGCCTCAATTTGTCCATGAGTGCAGTGGGAGTGATGATGTAAATCCCTTTACATTTCCCTGGGAGACTGGGAGTGGTGGAGCTTCCCAAGGGAGAAGGCAATCCTCGTACCCACTTCTCACTGTCCTCGCCTCCAGCCCCACCCGGGGGTCTCCAGCCATATGCCTGCAGCAGTAACCAGCCATGCAGTTGGGTACTTACTGTGGGCCAAGGTGTGGCTTTCATTCTGGACATATATACATATATTTTTTTAATCTCAGCAACCCTGTGAGTAAGTACTATGTATCCCACTTATAGTTGTGGGGAAACTGGGGCCGAGGGGTTAAGTGTTTGTCCACAGCGCCCCAGTGAGCAGCTGGTGAAAGCTGGAGTTTGAGCCAGGTCGAGTCCGGAGCTCAGCGCTATGACACAGTGCTGCCCTCTGCTGGACAGGCTGTGGACCTGGGGGAGGCTGAGGAATTACGCGCTAGTGGGAGTCAGTTTGAGATCCTGGCCTAGGGACAGAGGACAAGTGTCTTATTTACCACCTGGGGAGGCAGCTCCCCCAGCCCCTGTCCCCCAGTAGCAAGGCTGATGATTTAATTGTTCTTGATTCTTTCCTCAGGATGTGGAACCCTCTTCGCCTGCCTCCCTTGCCGGCCTGCGCCCCTACACAGACTATGTGATTGGCTCAGACCAGATCCTACAGGAGGTGAGGAACCTGTGGCTGGCCCCCTCAGTCCCTGGCCCCTTGGATGGGGCATGGAGAGACGGGTACTGTCCATGAGAAGTGTCTTGTTTTGCTGAGGCTTCCAACCCCAGTGTCGGGCACAGGGCTCAGGCGCCATGTGTCTGTTGTAGTCTGAGGACTTCTTCTCGCTCATCGAGTCCCACGAGGGGAAGCCCTTGAAGCTGATGATTTATAACTCCGAGTCCGACTCCTGCCGGGAGGTGACTGTCACTCCCAATGCAGCCTGGGGTGGAGAGGGCAGGTACTTCCTGGGGTTGGAGGGCTGCAGGGTGGGGCCCTGGTGGGGCTGTGGTGGGCCTTGCCATTGGGCATGGACCTTGAATCCCACAGTAGGGGCGGAGGGCTGGGTCCTGGGCCCAGGGGTCCTGAGGTTGACTGGTGGTCTGGGAGGCCCCTCACTGCCAGTGGGTTGGGGTGGCAGAGATAGGAAGGGCTGTAGGACAAGCCCCTGGAGCGAATGTTTTCTGGCCTTTGGCAGTCTGGGGTGCGGTATTGGCTACGGGTATCTGCACCGGATCCCAACCCAGCCCCCAAGCTACCACAAGAAGCCAACTGGCGCCCCGCCACCTGGTGCCCCGCCACCTGGGACCCAACCACCTGGGACCCAACCACCTGGGACCCCACCACCTGGACCCACCCCGCAGGACTCTCCTGCCCCTCCTGGCCTGGAGGCAGGCTCCAAGCAGGGTGACTACGTAGAGGTACATGGGGAGCACCCGCCAGCTGGGGGAAGAGGGAGCTTCATCTGGGCAGAGGAGCCTACAGCTGGGAAGAGAGAAGACTCTGGAGGCTGCCTCACCAGGGGCCTGTCTTTGGAGCCCTTGGGAGGCCCAGCTACTTATGGGAACCAGTGGGAGCAGATACACCCCTCCTGGGACAGCTGAAACCTACTTTGGTTCTCCTGCCACTTGGGTCTGGAGATGAGGGCACTGGTGAGGTGCTGGTTGTTACTTTCATTTCACGAGTGGGAAACTGAGTTTCAGAGGTGGGCAGAGCCTTGTTCTCTGCCTCCGTGTCTTTGGTAAAGTTGGGCCAGGGTCTGGGTGTCCAAGGGTGGTCTGTCTGGCCAGGTCTCAGCCTGGTCATGGCTGTTGAACAGGTCCCTTAAGTCCCCCCTGAGCACTGGGCTGGTGCCTGGGGTCTGCACGGAGGGTACTGGAGGACTGCTCCCCAGGCATGGACGCTTCCTTTGGGCCCCTGGGGCTGTTCAATAGAGTGGATAGAGTGCCCCCAACTGTGTCAGCACCACATGGGAGGTCAGCCAGGCCCCTCTTGCCTGACTTCACACCCACTGTAGAGGAAGCAACACCACGGTTGTGTGCTCCCTCCAGCTGAGTGGTGCTCTGGGGTGGGTGTGGGCTGGGGGTGAGGTGAGACTACACTGTCTCAGTCGGCCCCTCCTGTTCCTCTTTTCCCCTGGCTCCCCGCAGGCCCTACTGCAGGCACCTGGTTCCTCCATGGAGGAACAGCTTCCTGGGCCTGAGAGTCCCAGCCATGGTGCTCTAGACCTTGGCGATCTTGCATGTTCCATGGAGATTCCTCTCCAGCCTCCACCTCCAGTGCAGAGAGTCATGGACCCAGGTACTGAGCAGGCCGAGAGGAGGCTGAGGGGCCCTGGGCTCAGGGCTGGACTTGGCCGGATCTGCTGAGCCCTCCTATCTCTTACCTGCCAAGATGGTTGCAGATGATCTGACCAGTGTATGGATGGGGAGACTGCCATCCAGAGAAGAGAGGTGGCCTGCTTAAGGTCACACAGCACACTGGGCACAGAGTGGGGTCTGGGCCTTCTGCCATTGGGCTATCCCTATGATACCCAGCCTCTTTGTTTCCTCAGAAATGGGCAGTGGGGAACCTCTGGGGTTGTGTGGGGGCATTGCCACGGGCTGAGATTACAGTCCCCTGATGCCCCGGGAGCAGGGCAGAGTGCAGGGTGCTGGCCTTCCCACGGTGAGGGATTTGTGCTGGCAGAGAACTGCGCCCCCTCCCCTAGGCTTCCTGGACGTGTCGGGCATCTCCCTCTTGGACAGCAGCAACACCAGCGTCTGGCCCAGCCTGCCCTCCTCCACAGAACTGACCTCCACAGCGGTCTCAGCCTCAGGCCCGGAGGACGTCTGCTCCAGCAGCGGTTCTCACGAGCGTGGCGGTGAGTGGCCGGCACCTTCTGAAACCTTCTGGGAAGGACCCCGGGTTGTGGGGAAGGCTGCCCTGACTCTCAGTGGGGTTAGAGACGGGCCTGCGGTGGAATACAGCTACATCAAGGCATCTGTACACTAGCTCTCCCACCCCCCATCAATGCCAGGAGTGGGAGCTGCAGTGGGGTTACTGGCCCAGACCACACTGGCCCTGTTCTGCAGGCCTCCTCAGCCCCACCCTGTGTGTTTCAGGTGAGGCCACATGGTCTGGGTCAGAGTTTGAGGTCTCCTTCCCAGACAGCCCAGGTGCCCAGGTGCCGCCGGACCACCTGCCTCAGCTGACACTTCCCGACAGCCTCACCTCTGCAGCCTCACCAGAAGACGGGCTGTCTGCCGAGCTGCTCGAAGCTCAGGCTGAGGAGGAGCCCGCACGCACAGAGAGCCCAGATTCTGTGGCAGAGGCTGAGGGGGCAGCCAGCCAGGCCCAGCTCTCCACCCCTCAATGATACCCTGCACTGTGACATGGTGGGCTTTAATGGCATTTCATGAGGCCTGGCAGCAGGGACACAGCTCAGGCCACACTGTGCGGCCCAGCCCCCTGCATTAAGCTCCCCAGGCTGCGGCTCCGAGGCCGTGCAGGGGCTGCTGCTGGCAGGGGGTTTGTGTCCACTCAGACTCTACTGGTCTCCAGCAGATGACCTCCCAGCATTATTTTGCCTGATGGTCCTGGCTTTGGGGTATTGGGCACTTGTTTGAGAATCTCAAACAAGTGCTTTTGGGGTGCTAGAGGGCTGGGAGCAACTCCCAGAGTAAGTTAGTTTTCTAGGAGCTAGGGTAGGAAAGGATTCTTTGTGCTTGGGTGGGGCATGGAGCCTCAGTGGGAGAGTAAGAGCCTTGAGGAAGGGCATCTTTTGGCCATGGACCCTCAGGTCCAGTGCTTGCTCCTGCTCAGTCACTATGGCTGCATGGGAGGTGGCAGAGTCCAGGCTGGACCAGGTGTGAAGATGGGGTAAGGGAGGAAGGGGTTGGTGTGGGGTGTTTGCCTGGTTGCTTTGTAGGGCTTGCCTTGATTCTTCCTATGTAGCTCAGCAAGCCTGAGCTGTAATGGAAGGCACTCCCAAGCCCTGCGAACCTCTGAGGCCCCATCCCTCCGCTACACTGCACAGTTGGCTCACGCTGACTGCAGATTCCAGTTGCGGTTGGAGGAGAAAACTTGCCAACGTCTCCTGAGGGAGGAGGGCTGGAAATTCTAGGCCCTTTAGCAGAGACTCACCTGCGCCTGGACTGCAATGCTGCTTCTTCCCCAGGGCTTGCATCCCTCAGACCTAGTATCCCCAGCTGTGATTCCTGTCTGCTCCCAAACTTGGTTGTAACCATCTATTCTAAATATACAAGTCAGCCAGCCAGCCCCAGTGGTGAATAAAAGTTACAAATTTAAGTTCCCCATCCTAAGCAGACTCTCAAAGCCAGTCCTCCTGACAGGGCCTCTTTACAAAGAACTCCTACCCCAAAGGGGACGCAGGGCCTGGACAAGAGTGGGTGAAAGCACTTTCTCACAGCAATGGGGAAGCCTTTCCCTTCACCTCCGGTGCTGCGGAAAGCTAAGATTAGGTTGGGTCTTCTGCTCTGCCTGGTTCCTGCAGGAAGAGGAGGCTCCAACCAAGGATGGCCCCTCACCAGAGTCCTCTCCTCTCTGGCTAGAGTCCCTCACCATCCCACACCTTGCTGATTATCATGAAAGCTGCCCTTGGCCTTGCCTTCTAGCCTTGGCCCAGTCAAATGTCCCAACTTTACCAGTTGTTTTGGAATGTCTACACTTACAGGGAATTCAGAGCTCTGTTAGGCTCATAGGACAAGGACTGCTGTGGGGGGCAAAGACCAAGTATATGGAAGGAGGGCACCAAATCAGCCAACACTTCAAGTTTCTAGCACTGTGACTGCATTTAAAAAGCAAGCCTTTGTCAAGTCTACCAGAGCAGCTGATAAGCCTGCAGAACAGAGAGGCATTGTGTCCAAGCCAGTGCCGGAGCCTGGTTCCTGGATTGTCTGGGAGCCCGGTGTCTGCCTGCAGGAATCCAGGAAGCAGAATGGAATCCACGGTACTGTTCTGAGGCCAGCTTCCCTGACCCAGAGTCACTCTCCCCCAAGAGACCTGGTTCTTTCCTCCCTCACTTTTACACCCGCCCTTCCCTAAATTGGGGGATAAAATGGATACCAATGCTAATTATTTCCAGGGTAAACCAGAAGTTTCTTACTTTCTCTGTAACCTGCTATGAAGGAAAATGACAAATGAAAAAATAAATAAATGTGTACTACACTCTGAAATATTTTAACTAAAGCCTTTATTCTATACAACTGTGAAATACAGATTTTTACCCTTTTGGCATTGCAGACTGTCAGATTTTCTGGAAACTATTACTGGTTTGACTGGAACAACAACAAAAAAATCACAACCATGCTTGGGGGACAGACCTATGACAGAAAGGGAGCGTGGCCACCCTCAGGATCAGCACACAGGCAGCATGGCCCGGCCAGACCCGTTCCTTCAGCCCAAGGGCCCCTCATGCAAACACAACTCAGGGCTGGTAAATGAGGTTTTTTTTTCTTTTTTTGCCATTAGTTCACAACTATTGCTAAAAAATGTGCACCAAAAGTACACTGTTGTATTCAACAGATAGAAAGGATTTTTAAAAAAAGAAGCCGGTTGCTCTCTGCGTAAGGGAGAAAGACTCACTGGAAACGTGGCGTGTCTTTGCTCACTTCATCAAAGTGCTGGAGGCAATGACTTGTCCACTTTCCAAAGGAGGCTGACCAGCAGTGAGGGAACCCTGTCTCTACGGTTGTGCGGATCAGAGTATCTCAAATAGTAAGGTCTGGACCCAGGTCAGCTGCCTCCAGCTGAACCTGTGAAGATGTAGAAAAGGAAAAGCCTGCCCCACCCCCTCCTTCCCCAGTCCCTGCTGTTGTAGGGACAGGCCGCACACAAGCTGGGGAGGCAACTGGTCTGGAATAAACTGCCCTCTGAAGGCACTTGTGCTTCTGGCTTCATACAGGAGGCTTGTCTTATGTAGTTTTATGGGGGTGGGCCATTGTTCTCTCCCAAATACAAATGACCTTGGGGAGAATCCAAAGTATTTTTTTTCTGCCAAAAGTTGAAGTGTTTATACCCAATAAGTTATATTCTGTACAAGATCCAAATGATTCTATGAAAGCTTTAGATTGTTAGAAAGAACAGTGAAAAGAAATCTGGATACAGGTACAACAACAAAAACCTGCATATAAAACTGGAAAAAATAAACATGTACACTTTCAGAATATGAATATCAAATCAACCCACTATGAAATCCTTTCACTCTGACACCATAAAAATTAGGTAGCATTTCAATGAAATTAAAATTTCACCATGGTCTTAAGTTTGGATGGTATCAAGCTGCTCACCAGAGCAAGAGCCTGTGATGTCACCTGGCTCTGCCCATAAATAAAACGACAGTGGAGGAAGGAGTCACACAGCCGCACCTCCCTGGGGCTGCCACAGCCTGGGCACTGTCGGGGGCGGCATCGCTGGGCGTGCTCTAGTCTGGCAGTCCAAGTGCTACGATCCCACACCTGGAATTCCAACGGGTCTTCCTACAAGAACATATCTGAGATACAATATTAAAAAGAAGCCCAACAATAATCATTTATTATTAAATGGGCTGGCTCTCAAATTGTGCAGCAGTAAATTCCTATTAAAAATAACTGTCTTAAACGATGAAAACAACTTTTTTTTTAATGACAAACTTGGAAAAAGCCTTCATAGATACTGCATGAATGGAATGTACTCTTAGAAAAGCTAGAGTGTATGGGTTCAGAGTTGAAACACAGTGATAGATGTGGCCCTACCAGTGTGTCTCTAACAAGTGCTAACAGATCAAGATAAGGTCCTTTGAAACAAAAGGAGGAAGCGAAGTCTGTCCTGGCCTGTCGTCAGTTCTCTGTACATCACAAGACACAGTCTGCTCGGGCACTCTGCCTTCCTGGGGACAGCTTAATCTACACATGGAGACTGGTTTCTATATTACATCTCGATTAGTCACTTCAATTGAAAAGAATCTCGGTCCATACCACATCGGCCATTAGAAGTCTTGTTCCCGCTGGGGCTCAGTGGGCTTCCTAGGACTACTCTTGGGGCCATAGAGGAAGGTCAGTAAATGAATAGCCAGAAGTGTTTGCCCACCCTTCACGTGGACTTCTGACGGTAATGGAGGGTAAGGTCACCACCACTCTTCCATATGAAGTGTTTCACTGTTCGAAGGTCCATATTTGGATCCAAAACCTGAATAGCAAAAAATAAATAATAAAAAAGGTATCCAAGAGCCAACAGTTATTGTTAACTCTGGCACTCTCCTCGCCTATGCCTGGTGGCCTGTTCCTGTTGACACAGCTGCCTTGCACTCAGGCATGAACCTGGGTGCAGTGAGACGTGCAGCTTGTGTGGCTAAGCCAGACACACCGTGTTCAGCCATTCCTCTGAAGAAATGCACTGAATGCATCCTCATTTACAACATCTCCACCACTACTCCACCCACCACCACTTCAGATCTTCAAAACTAACACGGCAGACGCTGTTCTGCAAATCAAGACGAGCATGCGTTTTTCTTGTCAGGCAAAAAATGTCACCAGCACATCCACAATGGTCTGTGTGTACACTGAAATCTCTGTGTCCCTTTCCTGAAAACTGCCCTGGGGTAAATAGAAGCTTTATGGTGGGCTGAAGAGCCCCTCAAGAAGGGGCCTCACAAATGGGTGGGAAAGACCCAGTGCTCCTTATAGTCTCTCTAAAAGCAGAAACCCCCCAGAGGCAACAGACTTGGAAACCACAATCCCACTACATGATGAAATTCTGAGAACCAGCACTGGACAAAATGGGGCAGTGTCCTCAAGTCTACTTACCTGATCCTGGCACAGAAGTTCAATTTTCTCCTCTGCCAGCACAGCAATATCCTCTTCTTTTTCCTGTTCTCCTGGTTTTTCATTATTAGAAGAGCTAGTGGTTTGAGACTCATTATCCAAGTTGATGATTTTCTCATAGACATGTTCCATTACTTTCCGGACTTGAAGCATGTCACTAGCAGAAAGTCTGTCTCTGTAAAAAGCAAGGGCAGATTGTGATATCAGGAAATCACTGGATACTATCTTTTCCATATTCTTTGGTGTTAACATTTGATAAAGGTAAAACATACCACAGAAACATAAACCATTAAATGTTCTCAGTCACTGCTTCAATCCATTATTAGAACTGCCAACAGATTTTCTATAGTGTCCTAAGACACAAGTTACGTGCAACTAAGTGAGATTAAATACACATTCTTAAACCTTACATATACATACAGAATAGGCTTCTGGGTTTTATTCCCTTAAAGACTTTCCCAGAGCACGGGCAAACTAAATGCTCCTGGAAGGGAAGGCAGCCCCCAGTGCTTACCAGGCTCCGATCATGCATGTGCTCATTTCTCCCAGGGCTTTCTCCTACACCTAAGACCTTCAGTTTCAACTGCCAGCTTGATCTCTAGACCAACAAACCCAAAAGCTGGCTGGGCATCTCCAGCTGGATGTCCCAAGGGCACCTCAAACTCTACATGTCCAAAACTAGATTCAGCAACTTCCTTACCCCTCAACCTACTTCTCTATTTTTTGACATCAGTTAACAAAGTAGCTCAAGCTCAGGAAAGCCACCTTGAACTTCAGTCATTAAATCTATTTGAAGTGATACTTGGATTTGCTTTAAAATAATCCCGTGTGTGTATGTGAGTGTTTGTGTGTGTAGGTAGGTGGGCTCAGTGGGAGGGAAGGTAGGTAGAGGTATAGATGAAACAAAATGTTTAGCCATATGTTGATAATTACTTAAGCTGTTTGATGGGATAATGGGGGTTCATTCTCCCATTCTCTTTTTTTGCATACATTTGTACATTTCCCTAACAGAAGGTTTTCAAGTCTGGTTGACTTGACTTGCTGGGATACACATCAATGAAACTTTTCCTTTCCTTTCTGACTGCCTTCCTTTCGGCCACCACTCCACCCTATGCTGCAGCTACATAGGTCCTCGCTAACTTATCTTATGCATGCTCCTCCTTCCATATCCCCGATCAAACCATTTTCTAGACCTGGAATATTTCTCTTTTGAAGTTCTATCCATCCTTACATGTCTAGTTCAAATTCCATGTCCTTCAAAAAACTTTTCTGGAAAGCACCAGCCAAAAATTTATTTCTTTCTCCCTACTCTCATCATTCTCTAAGTATTCATAAAAACAGAGTTACTATACACAGACTGTGTCCTAACCTACGCATTATGACAAGAGACAAAATCTATGTCTTATTTATTTTGAACATCTGTAACCAGCCAAGTAGGTACTTGGTAAATGGTTAAATTATATAAACTTTCAATATTATGAACTTAGCCTTAGATCTTGTACTTGTCTCCTCTGCTATAAAAGCAGCTATAGGGAATTTAAACAAATCTCTCTGGTAATTAATTAGATCAAGGTTATCACATGACACTCCATTTACTTACTTTTTTAAGGTTTTTGCTCCTGAAGATGCATGAGGTTGGAGGTAGAAAGGAATTTTGTTGAATTTGGGCATATTTTTCTGAAATATTAAAGTGAAAAAAGTATAATAGTTTCTATTAGCTGATAAAATAAAATGATGTCAATAGGAAAATATGATTTACAAGTTAACAGTTATTTTACAATTAAAAGTGACTTTCTATTAAATTTATAGTAAGCTATCAAATTATCTACATCAGCCTTAGAGAACAGAAAAGTATAATGTTTCATTCTGTAGTAAAAGATAACGTAAAGACAATTATATGCATTGTCAGTCAATATGAAACTGCAGCATCGCTATTCTCAAATAACAATTCAAAGTATTAAAGGGAAACAAACTTTACGAATTAAATGAATTATTTAAGCCATACAAACCAAAAATCTCCATTGTACAATAAATGCCCAAATAAAAAAGTGATTGTCTTAGAGAAACCCAGAACATTCACTTTTGAGCAAAACTATACTCTGGTGAGGCCCATTATCCAAAACTGAAAAGGCCAATAAAGTCCTCTCCCACTTTCTTCCCTCTGACATCAGAGTGAGGTCTGAAGTTTAAACAAGAGTAGAAACTTCAACCAACCACCTAGATGTCTACCATGAAGTAAACAACATAGTTAGATGAAGGATAAAATTAACTGGTCATCTTTTCTCTGGGTGTTAATCTCCTCTGAGCCTCCACGTCATAGCCTGTCTTTGAACGTCTCCTCTGAGGAATAAGCCACAGGCCTAAAGTCAACAATG